ACCAAAACATTGCTGGTTATATGTAAGTAACTCATGTCATTCCAGGGATTATTTAGTTCACTGGGAGGTTTTTCAGATCGTCATTTCTACATCTAATTATTTTCTGCCTCTCATAATATTTACTCATAAGACTGAGTGGAAACCAAACGCAAAGGATGCGGAAAGAATGATAACTCAGTGTTATGTTGTAATGAATGGCTGGCGTTTAAACAGCCCTTTCTATTCGTATAGCGTCTACTATACTTCCTAGGGAAGTGCATCTCCTTCTTTTCAGTTGACTGACTATATCTGGTAGATTTGGCAATTTTAAAATCTTATTGTCCATTTTTTTTTTAGTTTTATTTATCTACCATCCAACTATTTTTAAAAGAGAGGTTTTGACATATTGCATTCTTTCGCCTTTCCTTCATTTATTCTTTCGTTTGTTTGCATGTATACGTTCATTATTGTTACTGTTTTTCTATTCATCTCACCAAAAGATATCGGAAAACTTACTTGCGAAGCTGTTCCAGTTATCGTGAAGGAAGGGGACAACATAACATTGAATTGCAGTGCCTCTGCATATCCTCCAGCCAATTATACCTGGAAGAGTGGCAATGACATTGCAAATACAGCAACCGTAATTCTTCCTGCCTCTCCGGATCTTCACGACAAATCSTTTACCTGCACTGCAGCAAACTCTCGTGGATCGAAGAACTGCTCGACAGCATATGTTAATGTTCTTTGTGAGTACCAATACCTTAAATGGTGGTGTGCGACGCATGCGCGCCGCAGCAGCGATCTTAAGTCATCGGCATGATGCTTCTTCTGGGTAATAGAAACTCGCTGTAGCATCATCATCAAATCATACAACAACAACGACAATCGGTTTTCAAATTCATCCTGTAAAAATTCCATTCCATTTCAAAGTCAGCTCATTCTTCTAAGCTCTTGTTCTGACTGATATGAAAGAGCTCTCTCTCAAATGCAAACACACTGGCACAACTTTATTTCTCTATGGAGAAGCATGAGCTAGTGTGTTTCAAGCGAGCAGCTGACTGATTTTTGAAAATATGACAAGTACGTGAGAGCAACTGAGCATAAATAAGAGAGGAAAACTCTTATTATCGCGCGCACCATGTAATTTCCCGGTTGGGCTATATTTAGTAACCCGATGCGGTTTAAATTTCGTTTTGCATTGCCCACGTCAGCCCTACTTAGCTTGTCGAATCAGCAAAAT